GAGGTGAGCTGGTAAGGGGGAGCTCTGCTCTGCTGCTTGCTTCCCAGGTACTTCGTAGACCAGTCATCTAAGCCACATGAGTCTTCGTAGGTAGATGCCAGAAATAGGACCGCTGACGGCCTCGTCCACCGTCAAATCTGCCTTCCCGTTCGGACATTTCCTGTGGTACGCGTACCTACCTGCGGAGGGGCCGGGTACGTACTCTCGTCCCTCCCTATCCACGGCTATCTGTAAGGCGAGGCAGGCAATCAATCAATCCGTGGCAGGAACAGCCTGGTGTTCAACAGTGCAGTGTCAGCAACGCCGACCCGACGATAGACGTGCCTTCCTTCCCCTTGATACGGACTCACCAACCTTCAAAAAGGAAGGATCAAGGGAAGAAAGGACATCGCGTGTCGCTGTTGCCATTCCTGATGAGGGGAGTTGCTTCTTTCCTCCCTCTCGCCTTCCTTTCATGGATGTCGGGTCTGATCTGGCATATCAGCTTCCCTATGCCGGGCCTGGCTGCCCTGCCCGTCCTTCCTGGGTTTCATTCCCGACACCCAGTCCTGTGGATGCCCTGTTTCCCTCTGCCTTTCCCATTCCCATCTCCCATCCACCCATTCACCCATTCACCCATTCACCCATCATCCATCATCCATCATCCATCACCCTCACCCTGGTACACCACAGTCCACCACCCACCAATCTGTTTCTCCCAATCTTTGTTTTTTCCGCCCTTCTCCCCCATCCCATGTCGCATATCCCCCCGATGCTAAGTCTGGATGCCCCGAAGCCCCATGCCCCGGTCGCCGCAGTGTTTGCACCTTGCAGTTTGCACCGCGTCTGGGCCCCCGGCGCCCATTGTCGCCTCCCGTTGTTGGCCGCATGCGTCCGACCTGCAGCTCACCAGCTGAAGAAACACATGCCCAACTTCTCATAACCACGCCTTGCCAGATATTACATTCAGAAATACCTGCACAACCGCCTTCGCCGCCGCTGCCACTTTACGCAGTATTCCAGGCCAAGGCCGCTATCTGCTGATATCAGTCCACACACCCGCCACCACCAGCCTTCATCGCCCGCTGCCATCCACCCATCATCGCTTACAGCCCGATACAGACACCCATCCCTTCCGGCCTCCCTCTCGCCCAAGTCACCACAGAAAGGGGGAGACAGGAGACGAGAGCCTAGCCCCCATCGTGCCTGTGCCCCGGCTTACGCCTGTGGCCGCTATCGCGGAGATACGATGCGCTACGCTGAACTCACAGGGGGCCGCTTAGACGTCCTTCAACACTATCTGCAATAGGGGGCTATACGCGGTACACCTCAGATCAAAGTACCCGCTGCTGAAGGTCATACACTAGGTGCTCTGCAGAGTATCCGTACCTCGCTGCCAGTCACATCCATCCCATCCGCGACGCCTTGCATTGTGTCTCCTCGCCGGCTCCAACACCTTTCGACGCGCCTACGGGGTCCGAGAGCCACTTCAGTCAATCACCGTTTAACCTGCCTCTTCATCTTCACACCCACTCGCAAGAACCACAGACACTTGCCCAGGAACACATCGCCAATTCCACGTGTCACCTGCATCAATTGAGTTTGGTCCGCCTCCCACTGCGGCTATCCAGCGCCTACCAAAGTACACGCCAAGTAGCCTGCCCTGCTTCGGCTCAGATGCACGATGCATTCAACTCCGGTTGACAGTCCTTCCGCCCTTCGCCCCATCCCCGCCTGCTTACAGATCTCGCACTCTGGCCTAATATGCCCTCGGATATCGGAAACAAGCCGATGGCACTGACATTGCCGGACGCGCCTGGCAGACGCATTCGCAGCCAGACAGGTCTCGCTCACCTTCAAACATGATGTGGCCATCGCTGCTGTGTCTTGTAAGTCATTTCGGCGTACTGATGGTTACAGCTTAGCACCAGTCCGCAATGCGTTTTAGCCCACTGTCGATCTCGTCTTGGCCAACACTCCAACACGCCCAAAAGACCCTGACTGCGACGCTGTGACGCCGCAACGCATCAAGCCCCAGTCCTGCTGTTCTCCGACAGGGGAAAACACGCACTTTTTGTGCCAGCCAGGCAGGGCAGGGTAGGGTGGCAGGTATGGATAGGCCATGAGGGTAACGGGGACGGTCTTCAATGTTAGTGCCACACTGCTCGCGGCGGGCTTGTCGAGACAGGCGAGGCAAGCCAAATGGCGCTTCACCTCTTCGAAAACGGCCATTGAATGACGATTATCGATCACTGAGCTTGCACCTGTCGATCGGCATCTGACGAGACCAGCCACCAACCGGCAATTCTCGTCTCCATCAAGCATCTCGGCCTCTTCACTTGGCCGGGAATGGCACACACTCTCATAATTACACGCACACATGGCCTCGTCTCAGATCGTATGCCTCTTTGTGGCCCTCGGTCCTCTCACCCCATCGATACGACCAACTCGCCCTCCTCAGACCACTTTCAATATCACTCTGTCAATCTCGACACGCCAGTGGCTGCTTCCCCTCATCTTCTCACCTTCCCCTCTCTCGCGCCTTTCCCTTCTGCCTCGTCCGCGGCATGCTTCGCACGTGGCAAACGCACACATTCCCGGCCGTCAGGCACTACCTAGCCTCGTGGACTGCATGGGTTTTCTGATCTCAACGGACGGCACATTCCCATCGCTGGATGGCCAATTGAAGGCTCCTTCCTGCCTGCCGTGGAACATGCTTCGCAGCCTGTGCCACCTTTAAACATAGCATCATCTCGGATTGCCTTTTGAACGAATCACTCAGACTGGCAATTGCCCATTTCATGATTCACGTCCTTGATCATGACAGGGTTCTTGAAGCTCACCAGGCGGAACTCATCTCATTCTTGGTCCCCCTCACGTCGCTCAAGAAGCTTTGGGCACTCCTTCTTCTCGCCTGCCCGCCCTGGTCTGTCGAAACTTTCCAGCTCTTGAGTTTCATTAAGCATGTCGACCCCCAAAACCCCCTCGTTTCCGGACCTGGCCACGCCATGGCTCTCATTTGACTTCATCCGTCTGTCGTCGTGTCAATATGTCCAACGCAACCGGCGCTCTTTTCTCGGAACAGCTCATAATCGCCAGCCAGCCTCGAGTCATGGAAATCGTTCGGCTCGGACTTGATTACGACGGAAAACGGATACTGCCCACTCACACGCGGTCCGAGTCACTGTGCCCACCTCTTCCACGTGGTTTCCCGCAGATGGGAAACAGATTCCTGGGAGCCCCCATACGACGCCAACGTTCGGGTCGGGTGGAAACCTCCAAAAGGCTGGTGGCTGTCGACATATTTGGCATTTCACGCCGACGTCCAGATGGCTATCCTGGATGGCCGTAAACTTACCTGCGTAACTGGTTCCGCGACAGCCGCTAAGCGCCAGCTTTCTTGTCTTCTTCAGCTTGGAGGCGTGTCGCTTGGGTCGCGTGTCGTCAAGATCGATGGACAGTCTCCGCGATACCTGCTCCAACCTCAAGCCCTGGGGCCTGGCTGTTTGCTTGCAACGCTGCGTCGCTCTGTGGTGGGGGCGATCTGCCAGTCCAAAACAAATGCTACCCGCAAGCGCCGTCTGAGTTTTCCCTCAATCAACCTCCTGGCAAACATGTGTCAGCCGTACCGGGGAAAGTAATGACCGCCAGACGATCGCCCCCGAACACGATGTCAACGAGACAATTTGCGCACGTCAGGCCTAAAACTGAACTCCGGCCAAAGTCAGAAAGGCGTCGACTGCTGGGCTGCAAGACTGATTCAGCAACCATGCCCGCAACGAGCCCGACTCAACCGGCCTGTCTCAGGGCACAATTTCTTCTTAGCTCGCCGTCAGTTCCGCTTGGGCCGCCGGCAGCCCTGACAAGCGTCTGCCGACTGCCGTCTGCGTGCTGCAGGTTGTCAACGGATGCACTGGCCACCCTGCAGCGCCGGGGCGGCGGAGACTGACGAACCCTCAACGGAGCCAGCTCCAACTGCAGTGTAGCCAAGATTTCTTCTTTTCCGTGGAGGGGGCGGTAGGACCACTGCAAAAGACAGGCCAATGCCTCAAATAAGTTTGTCGTCTCCTCTGGGGTGCGTTGCCCGTGGGAAGGCAAACGAACGGTCAAAGTCCCGGGCTTTGTCGTCGTCTCATAAAACGCATTGTTCACGGGCGGCTGCATTGATGATCGCCGCCTGGCGAAGGAACGGGACGAGGGTTGACATCATCAACTTGTCCAAATTCAACCTGGCCACCTGGCCTGGAAAGGGGTGCACTGGAGCCGCTCGCCAGCGATACCATCATCTTCTAGAAGAGCCACTGCGAGACTCATGTTGATAATTCGCTACCAGGCCGATCCACCAACTACTTCGCAGGTTTTTGGAACGGTCTGATGAAGTGGCCCATGACTCATCGGGTGCTATTGTAAGGAGGGAGCTCGACGCTTTGGATGCCGGGACGATGGGCGCCGCGGGAAGGCAAACGGCTCAGCTTTCCGCGGCGCCCATCATCCACGTATCCAAAGCGTCTCGTCTTCCGTTGTCCTTCCCAGCGGAGGCGCTTTCTGTAGGCGTCGATACTGGCTTCCCGGGCCAGTCATTGTGGATGGTCCTTCCTAACCAGCTGAGTGACATAAACAAGCCGGCGAGGAGCATTCTTAATTGCTGTGCTAGAGGTAGGCTCGGGACGTATTAGATGCAACAAAATGTGCCTTGAAATACCCGCCTTTTATCACCGAGTTTCCATCTACCTCATCTCGGCTACGTCCTTAAGCCAAAAGCGCCGGCACGTCGTAAAGCCGGTCATCCGCAGGGCCTGAAGGTCACCTGCATGAAGCAAGCCATCTGGAAGCCAAGTGTCAATCATGTTGTTATCATTCTATGTGGAGAAAGTGTCGTTGTACTACAACCAGCCAGCCCTTCATCTTGCGGAAGCCGGCAATACGTTACACAAGATCTTTCAAGTCTGTGACCTACACTAGATACAATAGCAGTGACTTCACAGCCTCGCGCAACCTTGACGGTGCAATGTAGCCCACCTTCATGTGCTCCGATGCTGATCCGGAGCAACGACCGGCAGACGAACCCGTGGCCGTTCACTCCAGCGTCTACACCCCTCCTCCAACATCCGAATGCCCTCCTTGAACCGCGCGGGAGCACAGTGAGTCGTGTCCGCAGCCATCTTCAGGCCTTCCTGGCCTTTCTCCCGCTGATTCGGAAGACGAACCTCGTCCCCAGGTTGGTCCGCCTCCCAACGCTCCACAACCTCCAGAATCTCCTCCCACCGCAGCTCAAAGTGCGCCGCGACGACCTCGCGCCACGGGCTGGACTCAAGCTCGCCGCCGTTGAGCTTCCTCAGCCACTCGGCCAGCGCGTATCGCGTCGTGTCGGCGCGGACTTCGACGTTGTATACCCACGAGTGCAGCGGCTCCAGGTCGTTTTCGATGTCTGGCTCGTTCCACAGCGGCGACTCGGTGAAGACCATCGCCTGCAGGGAGACGAGGAGTTGTAGGAGGGTTGAGTTCTCGGGGTCCCAGCCGGGCCCTTCCCAAGTGCCGAGAAGGGATAAGCAGACTGCGTCAAAGGGGTCAGCAGAGACCTTCTTAAGTAGATACAGATGGAGGAAAAGCTCACCGAAACCGTTAGTGTAAAGGTTAGGGTTGAATTTTCGGTCGGGCGGAGAAGTCCTGAAGGACACTTGGGGCGGGCTCTGGGGGTAGTTCATGGGGCAAAAGAGATCGAACTCGAAGAGTCCATTCTCATACGGTGTCCCGGCAGGTCCGACAATCAAGAAAGTCATGGCATCGAGCCGGTCGCTATGGTGCCGGACAAAGATGCCGTCGGGGATTGACGTTCGGAGGATCGAGAGTTCCCACACGAGGCGCTTCATGCGACCTGGCGGAGAGGTGTGCTTCTCGGTCCTCCTCAGGTCATTGGCAAAGTGGTATTCTCGGTGCCACGCCTTTTCGTCAATCTCAACAACATTGATCTCAGAAAGCCTTTGTCTGAGCTCGTCTACACGTTGCTGTCCAGCACTGTGAGTTCCGGCGATGGGCGTATCTTCTCTTCCTGCGGCGGTGGCACCGTCAACGGAGAGATGGGCCTTCTGGTGAGCTTCACACTGTGCGGCGAATTTGCAGATGCGATCATACACACCGCGTACCTGCTTAGCGTGCTCATCGCTATCCTCGTGGTGCTTTAAGGCAAAGCGAACCGGGACGGCTAGGCCAGGGAACAGGCTAACGAGTGGTGGCAGCATGTTGAGTTTCTGCGACCCGTTGTGCTTTTCCTCGTACTTTGCGTTGAGAATCCTTGGACAGGAATGCAGCGAGTAATCATTGTTTCTGGATACAATGCGCAGAAGCGTCTGTTGCAAAGGGTGTTCTGGCCGGGGCCTAGTGACAAGCGCGCGTGAGACGTGGTGTTGATTCCAGACTAGAAGCAAGTTGAACAATGAATTGTACAGCTTGGGTCGACGCATAATCTCTTCGATGCAGTCGTCTTGCATGAGCTCGGCAATTTTGATAATAAGAGGGCTTCGTCGCGTCATGGCGGCGAGAAGACGCGGAGGTTTCTTGTCAAAGGCGCTGTTATTTATAGACGTCGATGGCCACGCCTTTGCTAGCGCGTTGAGCACCTCAGGGAGTACATCAAGGCTTCGAGAAATGTCCTTGAGCGAGTTCTGATTGGATCTCTTGAATGAAGCATCACTATCAGAGCCACCATAGCCTGTTCCAGCACCGGGTGTGGTGCTGACTCTCGTCTTCGGGCCAGCGTGAGATGACCTTGTCTTCACCTGGGTATCTTGGTAGACGGACGCGGATTTGTCTCCAGGATGCGGATACGGACCGCAGAGCAGTGCGAAGATAAAGAAAAGACGGCCTCCGTTGCAGCACCATACGTGGGTTTCTGACCCAGGTGCAATGCATATCGAAGCGGAAGATTGGGTAGCGCAGCAAGGACACGATTCGGTTTTACAGTCAGGGTAGGGACAGGCGATTTTGGGACTCCAACGAGGATTGACAACGATTGGAAGACTGGATACCGCAGGATCTTGACAACCGTTAGAAAACTGACAATAAATAAGCACCAGATGTGACTCAAGTGCGCTAAGAAGGATCAGTCACCTTGAGACGCGGCAGCCATGACGGTTTGGTGCATCATACGTTGGGTGTAGGCGAAGAGGACTCTGCTGTCATCCGTCATAGTTTCCCGTCGGCAGGTGGGACATCTGTGTTGGATAATACGGTGTACAAAGTATCTTATCGCTTGCTCTTCCTTGGTCGGATCTGATGACGGAGAACCGAAGGTGTCAAGGACGGGGTCGCAAGAGGGTATCGAAGGCATGTCGAGGTCTCTACTCTCAGTGTCAGCATGTGGTCGGTCGTTTGAAAGTTGCATCGCGGGATTAGCTGTGTACGTACGATACATTAGCCTGCTCGCAGCTCAACTCGAAAGGAAATGGGTCCAAGATGGAAGGCGGGTCAAAATCAGACCACGGGGCCTTGGTATCGGTCCACCGCATGTCGGAACCCTCAAAGGAATAACGTTGAGGAAGTTTCATAGCCCAATCTGTAAGAGATTACACGGTAGGTAAACAGAGTAAGAGCACTTCGGCCAGTTCTTCGTCCAGCAACGTCCCTAGGGTAATAATGAGAGTTAGAATTCGTCGATTGTGGTTGCGAAACGTTATCTCAAGATGCCGGATCCGGTGTTGATGAGGCAGTCGGGTTGTCGTTCGGAGTTGAAGAACGACCATTAGACAGAGTTGCCATTGAATGGTTGAAAAGGTAGCAAGGTTAGTCAAACAGGTTTGTATTCAACTCATGTGTTAACGCCAGCCGCCGTCGTTGATATTGGCCAATAGGAGAGTACAGAGACTTGGTTGGCTGACAGAAAGGTACTGCCTCAAAGTATGCCACAGGCAGGAAACGTTAGCAGGGTCGGGCTTCAATGAGAATCAAGCAATATTTTCTGTGCTGTATATACAATCCTTCGCCAAAATGGTGTTAAGTATGTACAAGAAGTGGCAAATAAGGTCCGCTTTGAAAGATGACAGGGTGCATCGGAACCAGACCAAGCCTCTTAAAAGGCAGGGTTGGCGTTGGTAAGAAGCTGCACGAAGTAGGCCTGGAACCACGTGCCGGCCTCAGGAGCGGGCTTGAGGGCATCATTCTTTCCACAGTTGAAGTCATAGCGAGCCGCACTGGTGTCAGAGGTACCGTCACTCTCGCCACCGGGCTTCACCCAGACGAAGGCGTCAACAAGCGAAGAGCCCGTGTTGGTCGATGGGCGCAGCCCGAAGCCGGTGCCGACAGCATTGCACCAATCACCCCACGCCTCTTGGCCAGTGGGTTGCTTGCCAGAGCGGCCTTGATCAACAATGAACTGGGCGTTCCACCCTTGGGCGCTAAGAAGAGGAGCAAGTGCCTCAACGTAATGCTTCTCGTCGTAGTTGGAGTTGCCTAGCAAAGTTAGATCTGACGACGTTGAGTTAGGGCGTGACGCCTACCTTGAGTGTAAGAGGGAGGAGAGCTGAGACTCCAGGCATTGTCTGCGAAACGTGTCAGAAAGAGTTCAAATCAGATGACAGGCAGATACGGACAGTTGGCGACATTGGTAACGATGCCACGGAGAGCCTTGGGGGACCCGGCATCCTTGTAAACCTTTGCGTACATGTTGGCGGCAGGGCCAAGGTTGGCTTGCCAGCCAAGCCAGCCGGCATGCCCACCGTCGAGATACATGGCTACGTTTGGAAGGTTAAGCTGGGTAACGGCGTAGTTGGTGCACTCAAGGTACGCAGCCTGGGCACCAGAGCACTTGGCAACATTCAAGTTGGTGACAAGGTTGGCCAGGGAGTCGGGCTCTAGATTATATGTCAGACACAGCACGACACAGCAGCAAGATAATATAATGACGAACCAATGACCAAAAGAATGCGAATGTCGGAGTACTTGAGAATCATGGTGCGAATGGCATCAATGTACTCCTTGTACTTGGCAACGCCGCCGTTGGCAATCGAGTACTCGCCGTTGGAGGCGGCGGCAGCACAGTCACGGTCTGGGAGATCGTAAACGACGAACTGGCCCGCATAGTTGGCGCCGGCCTGGTTGGCCTTGCGGATGTCGGCGAGAGTGGAATCAACCAAGGGAACCTTGGCGCGAGTGTCCATCCACATGAAGGTAGGGACCTTGGCAACCTTTGCGGCCGCGGTAGCCTGGGCCGGGGTAAGAGACGGGATAGCCAAGGTCGAGATCTCGGAGGCGTAGTACGAGTTGGCATAGAGGTCGACGCCGGCGAAAGGGTTACCGGTGTAAGTGGCGCCGCCGGTAGGGACGGGAGTGGTGCCAGAGCTAGTAACGCGGGTGGTCGTCGCGCCGGCGGTGGTTGATGAGGCTCGAGATGTGCTCGCGACAGTGGTGGAGCTTGCGCGGGTAGTCGAAGTGGCAGACGGAGCGGCAGCACCAGGAATGCACTGGCTGTACCACTCGTTGGTGACGACACAGCTGCTGCCAGAAGCACAGCACGTCGCGCCCGTCCAACCGTTGCCACCGCACTGAGTCCTACAGGATGTTAGTCTGAGTACATGGTAGTCTTTCAGGCAGCCTTACCAGGCGGCTCCGCAAGATTGTCTCTCCTCGATGGGAACGGCGAAGGCAACGCTGCCCAAAAGGGCAGCGGCAAGGAGCGATCGAGCAGCCATTGGTGATGAAGTTCAAGAAGATGTTGTTGGCTGATCTGATGATGCTGTCCGTGGCTGATAGATGAAAATCTTGAAGGAAACCGGGCGACTGCCCTTTTATCATGTATTGAGCCATGGCAGTCTGCCAGCTCCTGATGGGCTCACTACTTAGGCTTTCGGATCGACGGGATAAGTGAAGTCTGGGCCCGCGAGGTAGGGAGGCCCTTTGCCCCACGATCTCGGAGGGAGGTCTCGGCATTTTGAGTCCAGTTTGCCCCTTTCAGACAAGCGCTGAGGGCACGGGCGAAGCCGAAGGAACCATCGTGCTATCGTGCCCATGGGGTTGTGGAAGAGACATCCGGAGCTGGAATCGGTTCCATGGATTGAACCAGGACGATGGCACGTCAAGACCGGGGGCGAAAGCTGGGCATTGAGGTAAAGTTCGTCGAAGGCGCATCTTGACATGGCTGATGGTGATATTGAATGGCGTTTTGGGGGAAAGTCCGCCAACCAAGGCGTGGCCAGGCTTCGGGTTGGATGTAACGCAGTCTAAGTTATTTCGGAGGCGACGCTCCATGATAGCCGTGTACGGAAGAGCGTTCTGGTCATGGGGGCGCGGCGGATGTGGAGACGGCCGAGGAGGGTGCCATGAGGGGTCGGAAAGGCTTCAAATGTTTCCGACCGGGTGGGATTTCGACTGATTCTTGAGCTGGAATACCGGCTGAGCCATCCGAGATGAGCTGGTTGGAGAAGCTTGCCGGGCGCGATTAATCAATTACCGGAAGCTTGCGTGATGAGGCGTCGCGAGTCCATCATCGGAAGAGATGGCGGCCGGGCGTAGCTGCAGCAGTGGCAACAACTGAGCTGGGTGATCGGAAGGCGTAGCGAAAGAGGCTTGGCTCCAGGTACCATCAGCGACGATATGTGTCTCTTGTCCTCATGCTTGCTGGAACCGAGCCGCACGCAAGGGACGGCAGGGGATGGCAAGCGAGTTGGGGAAATTGGGGTTCTGGTGGTCGGGAAGCGGCTGTGTGTGGTGCAGTAGTACTCGGCTCTGTCTTGAGTTGATGAAATCATTAGGGAATGCAATCAATAGTGATTGCTTTGGCCTGACAAGCTTTGATCAGCATCTTGCACTCCCAGGTTTGTGGAAACGATGGATATTGATGTTGCGACCAATCTCTTGGTTGAATGACTTCATGTCGTCTCGACAGTGTCACGATCATGACTGACGAGGAATGCCGACGCAAAGTCTGATGGAACAAGTGCAGATTGGATATCGAATCGAGACAGACTGTGTAGCTAGACGAAAGCAATTCAAGATACTGAGTACAGGAGTGGTCTTTAGCCGGCGTACGAGGCCATCTTGGCTGTGCTGACCAGGTGCGGCAGTCGATGATGACACTGGATTGTCTTGGTTATCTCATAGGCAAGGAGACTGAACGTAGGCGAAATGTGCTTGGTATTCTGAACTGTAGCTCTAGACGGAAATGATGTCGTATTGGATTGCAATTGGAATTTTTATGTCGTCCGACGATGTTGGTGGTCGAGGAGAGCAGACAACAGGATGGTGAAGGGAAGGAGGGCAAAGAGGAGTGCCAATTGTGTCATCGCACTGTCTTGAAGACTGTGATTACATAAGGCAAGAGCCCCACCACCGACCGTTGCGCGCACGTGCCATTCTTCATTAGGCAGGTGGATCACGTAATGCAGGCTCCACCGCCTGCACGGGGCACTCCAGCTTCACCGCCCGGACCCTCCAATGGACGGCAGAATTTCGCAGCCAGCGCCCAAGCCCGAAACTCTCGAAATGAAGCTCCCCGTTCCCGCTCCCGTCTTCGTCCCCTGACAGCCGACCGAGTTCCCGTCGCGACCCAATTCCCACCCCGCCCTGCGCCCTGCGACGTCTGCCCGCGACAAGCACCTCGAAGCTTCTTCTACGCGTCGATAAGCTTCCTCCCGGCTCGACGAGACCCATCCTCCCACCGACACCGAGTCCCGAATCGCTGGCCGCCGTCCGTGGGTGCCGATAACACCCCCCAACATGCTGTCCGGCATCCTCATCTTCAACCAAAAGGGCGAGAATCTCATCTTCCGCGCCTTCCGCAACGACTGCAGACCCCGCCTGGCGGACGTCTTCCGGATTCAAGTGATCTCGAACGCCCAGGTCCGGTCTCCTATTCTCACCCTCGGAAGCACCACCTTCAGCCATGTCAAGCACGAGAACATCTACCTGGTCGCCATCACCAAGAGCAATGCCAATGCTGCTCTCGTCTTCGAGTTTCTGTACCGCCTGATTGGCCTCGGCAGGGGCTACTTTGGCAAGTTTGATGAGGAGGCTGTTAAGAACAACTTCGTGCTTGTCTATGAGCTGCTCGACGGTACACGCTCCCCCGATGTCCTGCTTACAAACTCTCTTTCTAACGACCTGCGCCAGAGATTATTGACTTTGGCTACCCCCAAAACACCGAAACCGATACCCTCAAGATGTACATCACCACCGAAGGTGTCAAGTCAGAACGCGCCGCCGAAGACTCGGCCAAGATTACGATGCAGGCCACTGGCGCCCTGTCATGGCGCAAGGCCGATGTTAAGTACAGGAAGAACGAGGCCTTCGTCGACGTGATTGAAGACGTGAACCTCCTCATGTCCGCCACCGGCGCCGTCCTCCGCGCCGACGTCACCGGCCAGATCATCATGCGCGCCTACCTCTCCGGCACCCCTGAGTGCAAGTTCGGCCTCAACGACCGCCTCCTCCTCGACAACGATGGCCTCCTGAGTCTACCGAGCGGAAACAGAATGGGCACAAAGGCGACCAAGGCGGCTGCCGGCAGCGTCACCCTGGAGGACTGCCAGTTCCACCAGTGCGTGAAGCTCGGCAAGTTCGACAGCGACCGCATCATCTCCTTCGTGCCCCCCGACGGCGAGTTCGAGCTCATGCGCTACCGTGCCACCGAGAACGTCAACCTGCCATTCAAGGTCCACGCCATTGTGAACGAGGTCGGGCGCACCAAGGTCGAGTACAGCATCGGCATCAAGGCCAACTTTGGTTCGAAGCTGTTCGCCACCAACGTCGTTGTCCGCATCCCGACACCGCTCAACACTGCTAAGATCACGGAGCGGTGCACCCAGGGCAAGGCCAAGTACGAGCCAAGCGAGAACAACATCGTATGGAAGATTGGCCGTTTCACCGGTCAGAGCGAGTTTGTGCTGAGCGCCGAGGCCATATTGTCGAGCACGACGAATCAGCGCGCCTGGTCGCGGCCGCCTTTGAGCCTCAATTTTAGCTTGTTGATGTTTACAAGTTCCGGGCTGCTGGTTAGATATCTAAAGGTATTTGAGAAGAGCAACTATTCTAGTGTCAAGTGGGTGCGGTACATGACGAGGGCGGGGTCCTATGAGATACGGTAAGTCTTTGCAGCCAACTCCATTCCATGCCCAGGCTGAGCTAACACGCCGACAGATTCTAGTGGGGTAATTATTTTAGTTTCAGCTTGTGGTATATGCATAGTACGGCGTCAAAGGGTATTCCCAGTCGAAAAGCTGGAGGGCAGCACGTTTCGTCGTTGTTTACGGTGGCCACGTTGTTATCCGTCTCCATTCGAGGCAATAGTAATACAAGGTGTTCCAGCCAACCCCACATCATCATCCTCTTAACCATCGCTCGCTTCGTCAACACACGTCAGCGCCAAACATCCGGGCTCGGGTAAGCTTACACCCTCTCAGAGACCGAGTTTGCATCCAATACACTCTGGTTGATCTCAGCACGACCATCGCAGGCTCATCTCCCAAACCATGTCCATCTTCTTTTCCGGAGCGCCCTCCGGATTACAGTCCATCAACGTTGTCGTATCCAGCCCATCCACGTCTTCGTCTTCGACCACCAAAACCCTCACCCCCTGAAATTTCCTCGCATCCGCATCGGCCTGCTGACTCCGAATGGTCTCGTCCATGGCTCTTGCAAAAACGAAACTCGGGTGTTTGTCCGTCCACCCCATTCCCTCAAAGTCAAAAACCTCGCGATACCTCTCGCCAACCCCCCTTACCACATCCGGTTCCCGGGGTTGGGCCTCGTCGTAATGCAGCTGCCGGTACAGCTCCCCCCTCTCCTGCAAATTGTCCGCGGCCATTTCTTTCCTCCCGCATCGTGAACACCGTCCAGGACAATGATCAACCAAGTACAACACCCGCAGCCCCTGCTGCAAACAGCACCCCAAATACGCAACCTCCTCCAACAACACCGCCCCAACAGTCTCATTCGTCCACGTCTCTGCAATGTCCAGCGCAATCTTTCTCCCACCGTGCAAAGTCGCCGCCATCTCCGCGCTCCACGGCCCCTCAAGCACTTCACTCAGACTGTTCGCCCCAGAGGCATCATACTCCCCAAACAGCACTCCCTGCGATAGCTCCGTCACCGCGCCCCCGTCTCTGAACCTCAGGAAAAGCACGTCCTCCTCATTGTCGTACACGATCTTCTCGTTCCGCCCAGGCAGACACACTGTATTGACGTCCCTCCCCGGCTTCGCCGTCGCTCCCGAAGCCTCGGCGGACGTCAACCGCTGCGCGCGCCGTAGCTTATAAACGCTGGGGTCTGTCGCATGTCTCGCGACGCGCGTGGAACGTGCCAGCTCCTCCGGCCCAGCCTCCAAGGCGTCGAGGAAGACGCACTGGCTGTATTTGCTCCAGCGCGCCTGGTTCGCCTCCGACATGTGGCCGTCGGCGTCTTGGAAGGCGCGTTTGCTGCGTTCTGCGCCGCGCCAGGATGGGAAGCAGACGTCGAAGACGTGCATTGAGGGTCCTGTTGATGCGTCCTCCCATATTTTGAGACGGAGTTCGGCGGGGAGATCGGCAAATCTGTGGAACGATCTCGATGACGCTGTGAGGTGTCTGGTTGCTGCCATTGTGCCAGTTGGTTTGATCGATTGAGGTTTGATCCGAGGCAAAAAGCGATGGAAATATCTGGACGGAGTGGTTGCGATTATATCTTTCCGAAGACGCATCGTAACTTGTTCCAGCAGCCACTCATAATACTCCGCAGCGAGGTCGAACAACTTATCCATCTGTCTCCGGTGCTCAAGCACGCATAAGTTTCATTTTAAGTCATTCAAACGGGCAGACCGTAAACATGATGCTCCTCAAAAGATCATCCTTTCCTTATGAGGTCCTGCGCACAGCTCAGCACTAACATAACCCGACCCAGTCACGGAGACAATGAACCCTGTAACGTTCCGCGCAAGAAGCCACGCGAACGCGCCCGGCGTCTGACGGGCTGGTCGCCAATGCTTACACCGGGTGTGCGGCGCCATTTCCGTATTGGCCGTTGATAAGCCCCTTTCGCTCGTACCGCCGCTCTGGGTCGCGTTGACAAGGGCCTCACAGGGGTGGAGAGATGCCAGCGCAGCAATGTCAGAATTGTTTGGAAAGAGGCTGAGCTGAGCGAATTCGATCTTGCGCATTGGATCCAGGCTTGACGGTGGACCAATTACCTCGAAAGTTGATGGCCTTACCGGTGGAAAGAATAGGATACTCGGCTGGTGGCAGGTCTTAAGTGCTGACGGGCGCAAGGCATCAGCGTTAGGACGGATCCTTCAATGCCGCCAAATTCCGGCAATAGGAGAGGCAAAGGGCGAATTTCTCGATCTTGGCGCTTGGCCTTTTGTTCCCCGCGTCCTTCAATAGAGCCCCGGGAACTGAGTATGCAGCCCACCGGCCACCGGCCATCGGACCGGGGCAGCGGGCGCGGGACTCAGAGAGGTGGGGCGCAAAGCCGGACCAGACATGAGGCTCGCCGTAGGACAGCATCCGTTGCGGTGCAGCTTCAAATGTGTCGTGTTGTGTTCAAAAATCATCGTCTTATTGCACTTGTAATTATTTCAGTTTCCAGTCGATCGGTGCTTACACACCGGAATCGTTCTGCAGCATAACCGCATCCTCACAAGCCGGCCAATGAGTCTGGTTCGTCGGATTTCCATCCTTATCCTTCCTAGCGACCTCTCCCGGCCAAAGGTTTCTGCAATCGTACGCCCAGCTGTTCCAGTTCTCACACACTCGATACGCCTCATCCAGATCTGCCGAGTTCCCAGGCGGCCAGAACTCGTTAGCTGCGCTCTGCCTTTCCATAATCTGCATCGAAAGCCCGCCCGCGGCGTGGAAGGCGATGTGGCAGTGGATCAGCCAGACGCCGGGGTTGTCTGTCTTGAAGCCGATGACGACGTAGCCTTGCGATGGGAGGAGCACGACGTCGCGGCGGGGAGGGTTGTTCAGGTTATTTTTGGTGGGGTCGTACGTTGCAGGGTCCCAGAGCTCGTCGTCCACTTCGCGGAGAATGGCAAAGTCGTGGCCGTGTAGATGGATCTGGATGCTGTCAGCTTCAAGGCACTAGGTTATTGAACACAGGTTTGACTGACTGGATGAGGCCCAAAGGTCCCCTGTGACGGATCATTTGCACCGAACATTACCAGGTGAACCTATGCGACTTGGTCAGAAAAGACACATAAGTACACCATTCCCCAACCGACTCACCCAATCTTTCTCAGTGTAGTTCTCAGGAACCACGACCCATCCGACAGGCCACTTTTCCCGGACGTTGGCCAGGTTTAAAAATGTCGGGTTACCATAGTCGGTCTGGAATGGATTTTGCTGGTCGCTGCCCGCGCGGTCCAAAGAGATGAAAGAAGTTCCATACGGACCTTCGCCATGAAGCAGAGACACGTTAAAGTTGTCGTTAGTCTTATTATTTTGCGGTAACCCAACCGTCCAAGGCACGACTGGATCCAGCCTGGAGTTCGCTTCCGTGTCGGAACAATTCTGATTGAACGTCCAAGGCAAACTCGTCGGGTTCGTCGTGCTCTCTGCGTTGTATCGAAGGATTCCTGTTTGTGGGTACTCCGCGGTAGTTCCGATCCTGCCGCATTCCACGCCGTCTCCAGCAACCCAGGTGCGGATCCAGAAGTTGCAGTCCTCTGGCAGAGGGTTTTGCGCTGGGTTGCTGCTGTTTACAAGGGGACTGGCTTCCACGATGATGTTGTAACGTTGCCCAATCGAAACCAGCAGAGACGATACATTGAACGGATTGACGGGGACAAAATCAGCTTCGACGATGGTTAAGAGATGGTTGTCGATAGAGAAGATAAAGGTCGTTTGCCAGGATGTGTTGATGAGCCGTATGAGGTAACGCTTGGCTCTTGTGAGAGGATTAGGCTCCATGTCATCAAAGTGAATTTCATAAGGTGCCGGGACGGGCAGAAGAGCCTCCACACTACTGTTGTATCGAGTGATGTTACCAACAGTATGCCCGACGCTTCCAAGCAGAATGTCAGGAAAGATGGCGTCTTGATAAAGCGCATTGAAGGCACCGTTGTGCACTGGTTCATACGGGTCAGCGTTACCAGTCGGAGACAGTCCTACTACGTCTTGACTCACACCAATCAGTGACGATGAGTGGCTCGATTGCCTCGTCATACGGAGCTACTGTAGGGCCATGAATCGTCTGGATCAAGTCAGTAAAATATCCTTCTCCCGGGTGACACCCTCTTACAATCGGAGCCTGAAGTCCATCGGCGTACTGGACACTGTAGTGACTGTGGTACCAAGAGCTCCCGTATTGTGTGGCATTCCAAACATACACGAAATAGTCTTCTGGGGCAATAGGACATTGAGTAATGCCGTTGACGCCGTCCATGTGCATCGTGTCTTTTTGCCGGATTCCATGCCAGTGAATGCTTGTTCCATTCAACCCCAGAGAATTTGTGACGTTGACGTGGACTCGGTCACCCCAGCAGGCCTCTATCAAAGGGCCGGGGAAGGTGTTGTTGAACAACTTTGCCTCAGTGAAGTTCAGACCATCGACATTAATCCAACCATCCGAGACATCCAGGATAAAGTAGCGATCAATGCCATAAGGCATCTTGTCTTCGTAATCAGTGGTGATGTTGAATTGCTCACCGGTCTCAGGATTCCGAAGCCAGCATGATTGATCTTCTGACCCACCGCAATAATGCCAGCCTTCCATACTGGGATACTGGCATCTGAAGTGATCAATATTACTGCCGGTTGGACTAAAGTCGGGGTATCCGGGGTATTCATCCGCGGCGGTGACATTTTTGGCCAAGTCGAACTTTGTGTGACCTCGTGATACATCTCTTAGTAAGGGATCGCCAAAGAGTGAGCGGGAAACATCAGTTGCGATGACCCAGATCTGCCGTAGTGATAGCATAGCGACGTTTGAGAGGCGGACTGGCTGTCGCGCAGGTGATCTAGAGAACTTGCTCAAGAGTTGGCAAAATTCACTCACAGAACTCTCAGTCCCTTGGACTCGCTCATGACGGGAGCGCGGTAACTTTCAAGGCTGGTCCCTCGTGTGGAGGGAACGTAAAGAAATACACAGGCTTGCGCCACTCGGCGATTCAAGAACCATGTCCAATTTACTTCAATGATATGGCTTGCGAAATGTCAAGTCAAAGTTGTGATGTTTTATATTGGGAACGGAGTGGCGCCGTCCATAAGATATGGCTCTAGTCTCTGCTAAGTTTCCATTTTTTCGATGGAGGAAGTCTCAGAGCTGAACGTGTCGTGTTTTTGTTTTCCTAGCTGCCAAGCAATTGAGACATTTGGCAATCTAAGTCATTGAACCAGCTAGCATTCTTCCACGCAGTGGCTCCTTCCCAAATAACCAGAAGAATGTCCGAAGAATGCAGGAAGTCTGTGAAATAAGCCGATACTACTTTCTGGTGCGGAATCGAGATGAAGCACTGAGAAATGATACACTGCTTGTTCCGGTATCACGAGGTCAAAATTGAAGCTTGCATTTTGACGGATTGCTGCTTCTTCCTTGCACAAGGGACGGGCCGTTGCAAAGATGATGCGGAGCTAAGAGGCATCATCATTTGATCCTGCTTGTTTCCGTTCTTTGTGACAGGATGTGTTCGAAACACGCATTTTAGTTGCGTATATAGAGCAGACAGTCGCGCCTTCATTTGAATCCAAAGGATCACTGCTTCTCTTGCAAGACATCGTGAATGCCAAGAAGCGGGAAAATGCAGATGTTTCACCAACAAGTCTAGGAAGTTCGAAGTATGGCCAACTGAAGCTATGCTGAACATCGAACCCCAGCTCAGAAGTCCTAGCAGAATTTCTTCAGAGGGAATTCGACGCTTTTCAGCGACAAATGTTTCATTGGGCTTGTCAGCTGTGCGGGCTTGAGGTCCGGGTTATTCCGTTTGATTCTTTTGACTCAACAACTCAGCCCGGTCCTTGGTTTTGCAGTCGTTCGATCCGACCCTTTTATTCCCATTATCTGTTTCTTGTCGTCTTGTTTCCAGGAGAATAAGCTCTCAATAGATTTACCAGAAAGGCGAAGATCACTTCAAAGGTTTCCATAAATTGTGACATGTAATTTTCATCTCTTGAGGCGTACTCCGGGACTTCCCTCGCCGTCCACTCAGGCCTGATCCAATGGTGCGTCAGTCAGACGTACCCGTAATCGACACGACCAGCGGCACCGGCTCATGTCTCCCGGTATGCGGGCTGCTGCAATATTATCCGTTTTCAAAGCCTCACCTTTCGGTGGTCTTCGGCATTGAACAGAGCTCTGTCCCGAGGAATCGGTCCAGGCCCCTGGTGTAACCCCTCGTAAATACCCACACTCAGCATCAAACGCCCTCGTGACACGAAGCATCTGCATGGCACAAGCCTCCTTCGGAAGTGATGGACATGCAAGATTAAGTTGCCTTTGATCACACGGCCGTAAGCTCTCAATTGCTGAATAATTCTTAAGCTATTGCTCAGCTTCCAACGCCATCAATGGACATAGCCCCCTCGATATTATCTCTTTTATGGCAATAGCTGAAATTTCAAAACCAGCGCATTTTAGAAGCCCAGCTGAAAGCAGCGCAATGTCCGTTCGGCCAGCTTTGTGCAACCCACGGGAAGCCGCAGCTGCATCTCAGTCTCAGGACGCTGGTGTGGTATCGTATGATATATCTCCGGCAAATGTTCTCTTTGTGGTCATATGCTCCGGGTGAATGTCTGGGAATATTCGAGGTCGCAGCCGGCTCAAAACATTGAAAGCCTCTTCGACCGATCTGAAAGCTTCGAAGTCAAGACCAAGATCATTGAAAAAGAAATGGGAGGAAACAACGCCCAAAGCGGCGTTGGCTCTTTGAATATGTGCTCACCGAGGAGTTGACCCCGTTTCCAAGGGCCAATCAAGTTTAATGCATGCAGCTGTTGGCTCACCGACTGACCAAACCCCTCAAAGCCCAGTCCCCTTGCATTAACGCGAAAGCCCAGGGTCTTGGCGTGTGCTGATCTTCTGTTGTGCAACCTCTTCTAAACAGCCACGGGGGTGGAGTGAGGGGCTCTGTGATTAGTCTACCTTACCACCGGAACCGAGGAAAACGCCCGTCGGATGTGCCCGAAATGCCTTGGCCATCAGCAGAACCTCATGACCATGCATTGCGTCTGCAGAAGTCAGGCCTGCTCAGGTGAGAGGCTCAAAGCCGAAATCGACCGTATCATTGAACCATTGATTGAAAAGAATGGTTCCGGCATTGTTTGATGTAAGACTCGATGATTCTATAGACCTCATGGGATCCGTTGTAGCATTACACACGTCATTGACTTTTCGTAGATATCGAAAGTGCTCCTGAAACCTCGATGTCTGGTTTCTTAGATCTGGCAGGTTTCTGAATAGTCAGTGAATTCAGAGAGAAGAAATCAGAATTATGATCCGGAGCAGTCTGTCAGTATCCATCCGGGCTCGTGAGATGCTATGAAGTGGCAAAGTGACCTGCCTGTCTCACTTCCTCCGACATTTGAGACACCAAAGAAAGGAAACAGACGTCAAAATGTCAGAGTATCAAGACCTGAAAGCTGAAAATTAGTCTGCATCTCCTTATCCGCTCCGGTCTCCATACGACGGGTTTGGTCGGAGTGCGAGTGCTTCGTGCCGTGGGAGCAAGGGTACCATTTCCGAGACGATGATGATGTGATCACCGATGAATTGCATGCAGCAATCAATCCCCAACATGAAGTCCTGTCAATCTCATCACAAATATCTTCTGACTCATACTGACACTGACACCTCGAGCATCCCCGGGAATAAGCTGTGATAACATATCAAGTAACGACGTCGTGTGATAAAGCAACTCTGGGGTACATTTCGTCGCACGAACTTCAAGCCAGAAGCAGACATCTTCCGCACCAACTAGATTCCAGAAACGCCCTTGGAATATTCCATCGGCACATGAAATCTGGTTGAATTCCATGGCAAGCCCGGTATTTGAAACAGGGGGCTTTGCAATGGAGGGTAACGCTCGTGGTAGCTGGGATAAACACGCAATCCTGAAGAGCCACTCTCGCACCTGTGGCTCGTTGCCACGACCATCACATGTGGCTCCCATATGGGAGTCTGGAGGATGGCCTCCCAAAGCTCGCGTGTTGTTACATTTATGCGCCCCCTTGTCTGGGTTTCTTTTCTCTCACTGGTGGTATGTTCTGAAAGGGTCTGCGGGTGCAGGGCCGGTAAGCATGCGGACGCCACGTGCTTTGCCATCGTCCGGAAGAACAGGAAGGAATTGCGACCCACGGGTTTGACAATGGCGGCCAATTATTGAAGCCTGGTACCAGAATCATACCATCTCATGTCTATGGCAAGGCGACTGCCAGCAAGATGTGGTGATTGGCACCCTAGAAGGACATCATGAATGGCCGAGTGAGCGAGATTAGTATGTGTCATCCTTGAGGCCGGAGGCACGCGGTGGTGGCCCATAACGAAGACACTATGGATAAGATGTTCACCTCTCATGATCATATAAGACCATTGATACTCCACTCACAAACATTAAGAAACCTTCACCAAGCAACTCAACCCGGAAGCCCACAGATCAAACGCTCGCTTCTGACCCCTCAATATCAATTTGAGAGCTTCAGCACTCCATTCTCATTACCCCAAAATACCTGGCTGATTGTTGCCTTGCATATGCAGGCCGTTGGTCCCCATTGACTCGGTCAGGCAAAAATATCTATTTATTGTCTGAGTCGGCCGCCGGCCTCATCGAAACCGCTCACCCTGGTTCGCCGAGAGTTCGCCATAATCACACCAGGAAGCCCAATCAAACAGCTCTAAGCAATTTCCTCCTGGGCCCACCAATTTGTGTCACCTCGACATCCGATCACGAAATTCATTATTCGGGACGGACCGCTGATCGCTCGATACTGCCTAATCCAGGGCGAGGTGTCTGAAAGTACCGAACACAAAAGCAACTCAACCATTCGATTGATTCGAAACATACACATCGATACGTAGATATCAGGCCACAAGTGCGCAAGTCGCAAGACATAACAATGTGTACCTATTCTTACCTTCACCATCATCATGTCCAGCCCTGCGCTCGGCCGATCGATTATGTCGTACATTACGAGTTCTGTCGGGATGCCGGCGTGGACTCTGACGGCAGAACTCGACTTCCGTGCGAGAGAGTCTTCTACGATCCAGTTCAGTCGATCGACTTCGACAACCCGTGCGCTACGGGAGGATGTCTCATCTCACCTGACTGCAGCTCCGGTAACTGCCGTCTCCAGGAACTCAATGGGCACTGGATATGCTGCCAATGCAGCCGCGGCAGCAACTCTCTCCGATGGTGTCGGCACAAGATGAAGAAAAGTCCAGACACTTTCTGTTACCACCGAGTTTGTCAGAATTGCACTCCCGACTCCGCCACATGAAAGCAGGCTTCGGCTAAAATCACGGCACAAATCTGGAGGCTTTCAAAGCCATTTCGGTTCATAAGCAATGACAGACTAACGAGGAAGGAATACACGAAAAGCCCAACAAAGATGAGCCTCAAGTCTGTCAGAATAGCAAGTTTACAAGAGCTTGCAGGACAGAAGAAGTTTGGGTCCCGGAGTCTAGACAGCGCCACATGCCGACTGATGCTAGTCACCGGCTGTCATATCCAAGTGCTCGGTATCTGATGTGGACCTACCTTTTAGGGTTAGCGGAGTCTAGACATACGACCCGCACTCCGAGAGCTGAAAGTATGTGGTACAAAGATCGCAAGGGGGCCAGTCACAGTGAAGGTCGGGGCTTTCTCGACGTGGATCAATAGCTACAAGGGACGCCTCCGAGAACCGGCTACAGCAGTAGGTGGTCATCAAAAGTCCATCATTGGCGCGAGGCTGAACAGGGAATTCGGGGTGGCTTGAGAGCCTTGATACTTCGTTGTGCAAGATAGACCAATCATTATTATTTCCTTGCAGTTGCATGTTTCATACACATGGTTCGCATGCTTGCCTTGCCTGGAATCATTTGCGATATACTGACATTCTTCCACTGGTAAGGGACCCGGTTCCGGACTTCAGGGTCATTCGTACAAGTTATTAGTGGCCACTGACAAATATCAGAAACCTGGCTGCCACGTTTTCTCTTCAATAACCCTCAGACTATTTGCTCTTTTGGATGCATCTTGCGAGTCAGTCCTCGTCAGTTTGGCGACGGAACACGACGGGCTCTCGGATAGATCGCATCTAGATGGAGGGTCACTGATCGACAGGGGAATAGTTGAGATCGTGGCCGCCTCCACGTCATTCAATATTCGAAAACTCGGGACAGAGGAAAAATTATCGGCGAACCACCCTGCATTCACAGTGTAGGCATCGACTATAAAGATCAAGATGAGATGCCTCGAATTTCGTAAAGTTAAAGAGCAGTAGATCAGATAGACATCAGCTTTCCCTCGTTGCATGAGCACTCATCGAATTTCCTTCAAATACTGCTTATGCACCCCTGAGATCTCAAAGCCTCTCTAAAAGTCGTAATCTTCATCTTAAAAGCTTCTCAAAAACCCCGAAAACTCCGAAACAAGACAATATGTGCAACATCACCTCCTACAAGCTTCCGTGCGAGCACGTCAAGTCCCAAACCAGCTATTGCTCCAAAGCACCTTCTGCATCAAAGAAGAGTTCATCGAACCGCAAGACTTGCAGAGACGTCACCCAGCAAAACATTCCTTACCCTCCTCCTCCTGGATATGACCAGCGGCCGCTGCCCAAGTGCCCCCTCGAGAGCTGCCCCTACGAGATGCGCAATCGCTGCTGGAACTGCTGCTGGTGTGGCAAAGGTTGGAACGACGGGGGTCGCTGCAGCTGCGTCATGATCATTGACGGAAATGAGTATCGTTGCGAGCACATCTGCTGCAACACTTGCACGGCTGCCCTGGACGGATAAAGTCAAGCAGTCGCCAGAGTCCAGGATATCAGGTAATCGATTCAGTGAGCATGGAAACTGTTGGACGTTGTGTCGTTTCTCACTTCTCAAGTAATGTTGTAACCATTGTTTGATTTCAAGTTCCCTTCACAATGGAGTCGAATGGGTCTTAAATGCACACAAGAAACTTTGGCAGCTCACGAGAGATGAAGAAATCCTAAGCCCTATTGGAGAGACATCTTCATGGAGAGGTTACTCAAAGTTGACGATCATCAGACGATTCCAGTGGCAATCATACATAGTAACCAAGACTTATTCATCTAACCCGTCTTCATGTTCACGAGTAACCCTGATATTCGGCCGAGTGATGAGTGATCTACGGATCTGCCTAAAAAGCTGTCAGGATTACTGATTAACGAGATCCGTCATTGCCGGTACTCGTACAAAACGCCTGAAGCTACTGCAAATGCGAGATCGGGTGCTTCTCAGATACCCAAGTGGAAGGAACCTTTGATAAGCCTCCAGATCCTGCACTCTTGCATCTCGATCCAGCCACATCGTCCCCAACCCCCGTGCGCAGTACTGCTTTTGTCCACTCAGATGCCATACCAGCCGGTTCGCAAACCATAGTCCCGGGCTCCATTTCAGCCCCATGGTCTCACAATTACCGTAAGACCCCACCAACAAGGTGAATACGAGACACTTTGCTCACCATATCGAGGGTAAGATCTCCATTACCCAAGGCACCGGGAGACCGGCATTGATTTCCACTGATCGCTGACTCGTGGAGTAATTCCTACTCATCGAAAGGAGAGTAAGCTGTGTGACCGAGGAAGGCTTGACGAGATCGCCGTGATTCAATACTTGTGGATCGGTGTAACCCCAGCTGCAGGTAGCCGTCGGGGACTTCACCCAGATTTGTCTACGGTGTCCTCGATGTCTTTGAGCAACGTCGCGTAAGAATCCTATTGGACACTGTATACAAGGCTTCTTCCTGCCTGGTAGCTGTACAACACCTTGTTCACACCACCATATCCACCAATATCGAGTTCCGAGACATTGGGTCCTGATAGAGTAAACTTTGGCCATCTCCACTGCAGGGTAGCACAATCCTTACTGTCGGTGAAGCAGCCATGATGACAGAGGCGATGCAAAAACGTGACCATGTTCGAGATGGTTGGCGAGAAGTAAATGTGTGTCAGATGTGGTGGGAAAAGCAACCAAGTGAGGCGTCCACCGGCAGACCAAGTGGAATAGTGATCATTTTGAGTGTTCTTGGCCATGAGAAAATAACAAATTACCACTAATTGCTTGAAAATAGATCACGCAGAGTATATAAGATGCAGCAGGTGGCATGCAGTGATATGATGTGTTCTTGTCTTTTACAGCATTATCAGTCGCTGAATACCTTCACCCCAAAGTTTTCGTCCCTTAGGCATATTCCCTCTTTTTCATCAACCAAGCAGTCCAAAATGTGCCACGGTCATCCTCGCTGGCATCCTTGCTCCCACACATCTATTAACTGGCACTATTGCCCTTCGGCTCTCATCGATCTCGAGACTGGAGTGGAGACTCCCTGCACCCACCTGAGTTATGCAACCGCCCAGCCCAGCAATGCCGATTGCCCCCTCCTTAACTGTCAGTATAAGGCCATGGGTGGAACTTGGACTTGTTGCCAGTGTGGTCAGGGACCCAACACGCAGGGCTGGTGTACCATGCCGAAGCCAGTGCAGGACTCTAACGGCATGTCAACGGAGGAGACCAAGACATGTGATCATGGATGTTGCGCTGAATGTGCACGCTACCGTAAGCCATCTTCCGCATCTTTCCGCCGGTCGGCCGAGTAGCTAACCGCTCATCCCCAGTTCCAACTCGTGCAACAACCCCTGACATGACGTTCAGCGAGCTTCGCAAGGGAACTGCTAGTCGCAAGTTTGGGTACAGCTCCGCTACCCGCTCTCACCGTCGAGGCTCGGCTTTGTCCAAGATCAACGGGCTTCTTCCCGTGGAAGAGGACGCAGAAGCATTTTCAACGTCGACTTCCGGCTCCTCGTCACAGAGCAGCGTCTCTTACAAGTCGTCTGCCGGCAGCAGCACTTCGTATGGCTCATCTACATCGTCATCATCGTCAGGCCGAGGCTCAAACTACAGAGTCGACTTGGAGTATAACGCAAAGAGGCACAAGTCCTCATCTGGTAAAAGTAGCAAAAAAAGCCACTCACTGAAGGCGCGGTAGTCTCATGTATACTACGACAAGGTTTGCTGGCTTTGCGACGACAGCTACTGTAGGCTTAATCAAGGGGTCTTTTGTATAATACGTTTAGAACTATCGACTTATATTGAAACGAAATCTGGTGAAGTCTCTGGAGTTTGCATTCAGAAACTTACAATACGGTTTTTCGAAGGTGGAAAATGAAATGTTTATGCAATGCGAAATAGTAAAACGATGTATTGTTGCCTACAGGATTGAATGGTAATAACCGAATAAGAGGTGATCGAAACAGGATGTCAACCCAGCCACAGTCTCAGCATAAAAGCTGCCTTCAAAGTACCCCATATTAGTATGGAGAAAACCACGGTTGTGTATACTGAATCAACGCCATGGGTACATCGACCACCCGATGTTTCCCCTCATCCCCCACATGAGTTCGTCAATTCGTGGATAGCATGACATTTCAAACACGGCTCTACGAGCTTCTTTCGGTCAGCTTGGATCAGATGCGGCGATCCTCTTCCAGCGATGGTATTTCTGGTGGCGTCCTTGGTGTCCACGGCGCGATCGTGGACGTACCTTTGCGACGGGCCGAGACGTGTTGGAAGGGTACCCAGTTTTCAACAAACATTTGCGAAGCCCAATAAAGGGGATGAAAGTCAAGTTCAAGTCCCCCCGAGCCTTGGAAATCTGATAGACGTGTCAGCGAAGACTTACGACCAAATTGGACCATTTGAGATTACCATTTTCATCAAAAAGCTCGTTTGTAAACTTCTGCTTTAGGTCAACCCAAGTCTTTTTGACAAGAAACTTCTGACTTCCAGAGACGTCTGACAGAAAGCCTTTGTTCATGTCGTCGCCATAGAAGTTGTCGCCTGCCACCGAAGCATTGGGTTTCCTTCGGTAGTAGTGCCAATGCAACAACAGAATCTCGGCGTTGTGACACATTTTGGTGGCAAAAGGGTCTGTTGTTTGAGGCAACATCGGCTCTTTCTGTGAATGTATGTCAGGATGAAGGAATGTCCACGAACATATGGAACAACTTACTATGATGCCGGTAAAAACCTCCCTTCCATCCTTCCAGTGGCCCACAGTCAATGAGACTTCATGGAGAAGCAGAAAGGTAACCACATAGACTGTGAAGAACGGCTGGAATTTCGCTCTGCTGTAAAGCTGCTCGAGATTATGGAGCACTTTCTCGGTAAGTGTGTCCACGAATTTCGTACAGACAATCGCGTACAGCTGGGCCACAATCATGCGAGGTGTTGGGATCCTGTGAAGAAGAGGATGCTTCTCGTCCTTGACTCTGTAGACCCCGAGGCATTTGTGGCTCCCTGTAGACTCATCGTACACCCAAGAGGGACTCATGCAGTGATCTACCATTTGGAAGTCAGCTTGGAGGCGTTTCTATCTCGATGTAGAGACTTTGTTGTTCGAAACACTTACGGAGTGCCATTCTGAGCTTGAAAAAGTCTTTGAGAACTTGTCTTTCCTTGTTATCCTCATCGAAGTCGTCACAAAGTTTGTCGTAATGCATCAAGGCCTCCAAATAGTGTTCCCTGATAATGGGATGAGTGCCTTCCTTGTCGATCTGCTCCTTCAAGCTGGCAATGAAGTTTTCGTCCAAGTATGCTTGAAAGGAGCGCCTCGTATCCCTCACATTGGCCAAGGCATACGGCGGTAGATGCATGTGCTCTTTGTCTCCCGATCTAGTCCTGATTGAATAGTTGAGTCTGTCGTATCTCTCCTGGGAGAAAAGTCGCACTCGAATATTGAGGGGATGCCGGCACAATCCTCTAGTCATAAGCTGGACCGTTTCAACCTTGTTGGACATCCACTCGTTATCAGTGAGGTCGTGCTCTGCGAGGCTCTGAAACTTTCGTTCTGTTATACCTAGATTGCATGGCAAGGAAAGTTGGATCTCGCCCATCTTGGCCCGACAGCAAAGGTTCTTGTGGACGACTTTGGGCGACTTTCTGTTGAGTTTTGTGCAGGTGAGACAGGGTCCCTCGGGATGCTCAGGATTAGGTTCACACTATGGATGAATGGATTGGTTAGCTTCTGCTGGACAACTTGCAACCTTGGACCAAAACATACCGTCAAATGCTGCATTCTGCAACGGATGCATGCCCCCAACTTCCTCGTCGATGCTGCATCTTGTCGCTTTTTCTGCGTCAAGGGGCCGCCCCGACAGGGAACCTTGCCGAGCCCTTCCTCCGCCTCCAGATCCACCAAATGTCTCTTCGCAGGAACAGCTGAAGGGGGAGGCATCAACTGAGAGTCAACGCTTGCTGGAAAGTGAACCTTTAGCCCGGGTTGATGTGCCATCTTTGACGCAAAGTAAGACGAAGGCCGACCCAGCTCCGGGTCAACAGGGGTCATTGATTGTGTGTCTCTTGGGAATTCTTGTTCAAGTAACGGCGATCTCGAAGTTTCGCCGGGAGTTGAATATCCAAGCGAAGGATAGCAAAAGGTTCCAGGAGGAGATCCCTGTGACGATTGCGAGCTTGTCTCGCTCTCTGGCGGCGAATGGTACGACTGAGCCCCATTAGGGTGTATGTCTGCAGAGTACTGGACGGTTGAATGGCTCTGCCTAAAACCTTGAAACTGCATGCGTGCATCACAGCCCTCGAATCTCATAGGCGTATTCGTATGCGGCTGTAGAGGTTGCTTCTCCAAGGGCGCAGACTCGTAGTGCTGTAGAGGGATATACATAGGGGACTGAAAAGCATTGTTGGCATTGATGTGATGCGCAGGAGCGAATATGCCATCAACATCCTGCGCCCAAGAATACTGTACAGTCGTAGGT